CCTCCCAAACTGGTGAGATTGCAGGTGTGTACTGCACCAGGCCCATTTTTAACATTTAGTAGATTAAATGTTTCACCATGTTGGCCAGAGTGGTCTCAAACTACTGACCTCAAGTGATCTACCCACCTGGGTGTCCTAAAGTGCTGGGATTAGAGGTGTGAGCCACCACAGCCAGTCAGTCTAAGCTATTTCTCACAGGACAATGAAATGACAGACATATATAAAGGCAACAAGAGAAAATGCAAAGATACGCAAGGGCACATCCCCAGGAGGGAAGGTATCCTCACCCAGGGAGACCAGGTTCCTATAATTCTCCACCATCACGTCTCTGTATAAACTCCTCTGAGCAGGGTCCAGGCATTTCCACTCCTCCTGAGAGAATTTTATGGCCTAAATGTCAATAGACCATGAAATGAAAACACATTTTAACCAAATAGTTCTGGGAGGAGTTCTTATCTTTACAGAAAATGAGAAGAGGAGAGAGGGGAAAGCGTGGATTTAATTGTAGTGAATGTTCTGACAAATCCGAGTCAGGGATTTCTCACCACATGATGTCTTCCTAGTTGTATTCTACTACATTTTTTGAAGAGGTCATGATACCCTCTCAGTATGAATTACTTATGTTTGTGAAAAAATACAAGCAATACATAAATAAAAAAATCAATGCAGGGTTCCCGTTATAGAAATGTTAGGAAGTTTTATTGACACACCAAGTGACATTTATCTGGATGAGCCAGAGCATGAGTGAGGTCTTCAAAGATGACAACATCTACAGTGAAAGATCAGCCAGGCATGGTGGCACATGGCTGTAATCCCAGCTACACGGGAGGCTGAGGCAGGAAAATCACTTGATCACTGGAAGCAGAGGTTGCAGTGATCTGAGATTATGCCACTGCACTCCAACCTGGGAAACCGAAATTCAGTCAAAAAAAAAAAATTAGCCAGGCATGGTTCCAGGCACGTGTGGACCCAGCTATTTGGGAGACTGAGGTGGGAGGATGGCTTGTTCCTGAGGGTGGAGGTTGCAGTGAGCTATGATCCTGCCACTGTGCACCAGCCTAGGCAACAAAGCAAGACCCTGTCTCAAAATAAAATAAAATACATGAAAACAAAATTACTCAAGATACAAAAATCCATTTTGTATATATATGTCCACAAAATAATAAAACCTGCACAGACTCACAAAAAGCCAGATGTTAATACAAGGGGTTGTCATTTGTCCCAGATTTTCAAAATATAAAAGATATTCAAAATATATACATATGTGTGTATACATGTATTTGTATGTATATGTGTGTGCACGTGTGGGGGGATGTATATATACATATATAAAGATTTTAAAAATATAAAAAGTAGCAAGTTTTGTTTAACTGAAGAGGAATCTCATCTTGCTGGAAGAGAACACTTTGGCAGTTGGGGGTAGGGAGGAATCTTGTCAGATCTAAGAAAACAGGGAATGCCTCATCCTAGAGGAAGCAATCACCATTTCAACTGCCTGACCTGGAGGAAGCTTCAGATATCTGTAGGAATGCAGGCGTGTGCAGTGGCAGCCACTGTGGCACTCTTTATACAGGGAAAAATCAAAAAGGACCCAAACATTGTCATTCAGCCAATTTCCAATGCAGATGGCAAAGAGCAAGCTATCCATGTTCACTAACATGACATGTAAATTTTTACAACCAATAGGATCAAATATCAAAGTAAAATATTTACTAGAACACAAAGAAGAAAACAACAGAGGCTTGGATCTACTTGAGGGTGGAGGGTGGGAGGAAGGAGAGGAGCCAAAAAAATAACTATTGGGGGCCAGGCCAGGCGCAGTGGCTCCCACCCGTAATCCCAGCACTTTGAGAGGCCGAGGGGGGTGGATCAACTGAGGTCAGGAGTTCAAGACCAGCCTGGCCAACATAGTGAAACCCTGTCTCCAGTAAAAAATACAAACATTAGGGAGGTATGGCAGCAGGCACCTGTAATCCCAGCTACTTGGGAGGCTTAGGCAGGAGAATCGCTTGAACCTGGGAGGTGGAGGTTACAGTGAGCTGAGATCATGCCATTATACTCAAGCCTGAGCAACAAGAGCAAACTCAGTCTCAAAAAATAAATAAATAAAAAATAACTATTGGGTACAGGGCTTAATACAAGAGTGATAGTCTACTACAACAAACCCTGATGATACAACTTACGTAACAAAGCTTCACATATAGCCCCAAACCTAAAGTAAAAATCTAGAAATAATCTGTAGAACAAACCCCGATGATACAACTTGACATATGTAACAAAGCTTCACAGGTAGCCCCAAACCTAAAGTAAAAACATAAATATAAAAAAAAAAATTGGCCACACACAGTGGCTCACATATGTAATCCCATCACTTTGGGAGGTTGAGACGGGAGAATCATGAAGTCAGGAGTTCAAGACCAGCCTGGCCAAAATGGTGAAACCCCGTCTGTACTAAAAATATGAAAAAAAATTAGTCGGGGGTGGTGGCACTTGACTATAATCCCAGTTATTCTGGAGGCTGAAACAGGAGAACTGCTTGAACCTGGGAGGAAGAGGTTACAGTGATCTGAGATTGCGCCACTGAACTCCAGCCTGGGCAACAGAGACTTTGTATCAAAAAAAAAAAAAAAGAGAGAGAGAGAGAGAGAAAAGGCCAGTAGAGGTGGCTGACACCTGTAATCCCAGCACTTCAAAGGCCGAAGTGGGCGGATCACGAGGTTAGGAAATTCAGACCATCCTGGCTAACAAGGTGAAATTCCATCTCTACTGAAATACCAAAGCATGGTACTGGCACCGTGGCACTCACCTGTAGTCCCACATACTCGGGAACCTGAGGTAGGAGAATCACTTGAACCCGGGAGGCAGAGGTTGCAGTGAGCTGAGATCATGCCGCTGTTCTCTAGCCTGGCTACATAGTGAGACTCCATCTCAAAAAAAAAAATTAAGAGAGCATGGTGGTACACACCTGTGGTCCCTGCTACTTGGGAGGCTGAGATTGGGGGATGGCTTGAGCCTGAAGGAGGTTGCAGTGAGCTAAGATCATGCCACTGTGCTCCAGTCTAATCGACAGAGCAAGACCTTGTCTCAAAATAAAATCAAATATATGAAAACAGAATACTCAAAGTATGAAAATCCATTGTGTTTATATAAGTTTGCAAAATAATAAAACATACACAGACTCACAAGAAACTAGATGTTAGTAAAAAAAAAGTTGTCATTTTCTCCAGTTTTTTTTTTTTTTAAGACAGGGTCCTGTTCTGTCACCCAGGCTGCAGTGTAGTAATATAATCTTGGCTCACTGCAACTTCTGCCTCCTGGGTTCAAGTGGTTTTCCTGCCTCAGTCACAGAGTAACTGGGATTACCAGTGCCCGCTACCATGCCCGGCTAACTTTTGTATTTTTAGTAAAGATGGGGTTTCACCATGTTGGTCAGGCTGGTCTTGAACTCTCACTGACCTCAGGCGATCCACCCACCTTGGCCTCCCAAAGTGCTAGGATTACACACGTGAGTCACCAAGCTCAGCAGATTTTCAAAAAATACACATGTATATGTAAATATGTATATATATGTGTGTATGTGTGTGTATATATGTGTGTGTGTGTGTATATACAGTCTTAAAAATATAAAAAGTAGCAAGTTGTGTTTAACTGAAGAGGCATCTCATCTTGCTGGAAAAGGACACTTTGGCAGTCGGGGGCAGGGGGGAATCTTGTCAGATCTAAGAAAACAGGAAATGCCCCATCCTAGAGGAAGCAATCACCCTTTCAACTGCCTGACCTGGAGGAATCTTCAGATATGTGTAGGAACGCAGGCGTGCACAGAAGGAACCACTATGGCACTCCTCGTACAGGGAAAAATGGCAAAGGACTCACATGTTGTCATTCAGCCATTTTCCAATGCAGATGGCAAAGAGCAAGCTAGCCATGTTTACTAACATGACAACAGGTAAATTCACAACCAGCAGGATCAAATATCAAAGTAAAATATTTACTGGAACACAAAGAAAACAACAGACACTGGGGTCTACTTGAGTGTGGAGGGTGCAAGGAAGGAAAGGAGCAGAAAAAATAACTATTGGGGGCTGGGCACGGTGGTTCACGCCTGTAATCCCAGCACTTTGGAAGTCTGAGATGGGTGGATCACTTGAGGTCAGGAATTCAAGACCAGTCTAGCCAACATAGTGAAACCCTATCTCTACTAAAAATACAAAAATTAGCCAGGCATGGTGGGGGGCACCTGCAATCCCAGCTACTCAGAAGGCTGAGGCAGGAGAATCACTTGAACCCGAGAGGCGGAAGTTGCAGTAAGCCGTGATCTGTGTATGAACTCTCCATTTTAATGAGATTTTTGGAGTCAGAAACACAGTAACTCACTCGATTACCTAAAAATGTAGTATAAAATCAGGCAGAAAACATTTCCCCTTATTGGTCTCCTTTTCTAGAATGTACCACGTACTTTGTGCTGATTAATACGTGACTTATATTGGCAGCTGCTCTAATCCTGGTCCATCCTGGATGACAGAGCAAGATTCTTGTCTCCAAAAAACAAAAAACAAAAACAAAACACAGAAAGACAGAAAAGATTTCCTGAATTCTTATTGCAGAATTTACCAGGTACTTGCGCACATTAGTACATGACTTCTGAGGGCAGCTGGTCTAATCCAGGTCCACAGAGAGCTGACAGAGCATCCAGATGTGGTCCCTGAACAATCCCTGCTGCCCAACAGCACTGACACCACGGGACCCTCACCCCATCTCCATCCATGTCTGGTGTGAGCCCTTCCCAGGACCATGCCCAGTGCCGCCTCTTCCCAAGTTCATGTCACTGGGTCACAAGAGATAAAATCTAAGTGAGATGAGAGGGACTGAGGGAAGGCATGGGTGAGTGTGAGCAAACCTGTCAGGCAGAACGCTTCAGACTCAGAGAAGATTCCCAACTCCAAGGCCCAGCACTTCTGAAAGGAAGGAGACAGAACAATCCACCAAGAATATCATCTCACCTAAGAAAGAGCCATCCCTGACTCCTTTGCTTTCCTCTTCCTCTTCCGAGTTTCTTCCTCACGTACCAAGAATCTTTAGAAGTCAATCCTGAATGTTAAAAATATGTTGTTTATTGCTCAGAATCAACAACCCCCTCCCCCTGTACCACAATCGCATATACAAAGAAACTGGAAGCTAACCTCTGCTGCCAAGATTTATAGAAGGTACACATATTATAGACAGGAATTCTAAAATTCTCAATCTCATCTGTATGATTTTTTTTTTTTTTTTTTTGAGATGGAGTCTCACTCTGTCGCCCAGGCTGGAGTGCAGTGGCGTGATCTCGGCTCACTGCAAGCTCCGCCTCCCGGGTTCACGCCATCCTCCTGCCTCAGCCTCCCGAGTAGCTGGGACTACAGGCGCCTGCCACTACGCCCGGCTAATTTTTTGTATTTTTAGTAGAGACGGGGTTTCACCGTGTCTGCCAGGGTGGTCTTGATCTCCTGACCTCATGATCCGCCCGCCTCGGCCTCCCAAAGTGCTGAGATTACAGGCGTGAGCCACCGCGCCCGGCCTATCTGTATAATTTAAACAAGTTTAACTTATTAGATTATATACGTGGAAGTCAACATCTCACAACTAATCATATTCAATGAACTCACCCACTCATCTGAACCCAAAGTCGCCTACCCCTTTTTTTCTTTTGAGACAGGGTCTCGATCTGTTGACCAGGCTGGAGGTCTCGCTGTGTTGACCAGGCTGGAGTGCAGTGGCATGATCTCCGCTCATTGCAGCCTGGACCCCCTGGGGTCAATTGATTCTCCTGCCTCAGCCTCCAGAGTAGCTGGGATTACAGGTGAGTACCATCAACCCCAGTTAATTTTTTTATTTTTGGCAGACATGAGTGTCTCATTATACTGCCCAGACTGGCCTCAAACTCCTGGACTCAAGGAATCCTCTTGCCTCAGTCTCCTAAATTGCTAGGATTACAGGCGTGAACCACTGCGCCCAGCCCCTTTCTTCATTACTGTGCTTCCCTCCCTAATTCTGTACATATCTCTCATTCTCCCCTTCTCTCTATGTTCGTTTTTCTTTTTCCCTGGGATTCTGCTCCATATTTTGTACATCTCTCTTCTCCTGTTGTTTATCTCCTTCTTCCCTCTATTCCTTCTCTTCCCCCTCCTCTGCTCCATTCTCGCAACTTTTTTAACCTCTTGTTGCTCCTTCTCCTCAATCTTTAGATCGTCCTCAATCTTACTCTAAATTCTCCTGTGATTGTGTGGGCCAAAGGGATCAGGAGACAGAAAGAGGGAGTCAGAGAGCCATAGAAAACCTGAGACAGAGGAAAGAAGAATGAAAAAGACCCATAACCGATGGCAAAGTAGAGGATGGGTGAGGGATTTGCCAAGAGACAGCAAAAGTGAAAAAAAGATAAGAAAGCAAAAGGAGAAAAACAACTGGAGAAGTGTAGAATCTACTTCTGCCTCTTCTCCCATCTCTGCTCCTCCTCTGCTCTCCCTGTTAAATTCTGTCTTCCCTGTTGTACCCCCCTGTCCCCACTCTCTGGCACCCCAGATCCCCAGGTGTCCTCCCTGCTGTGATTCTCCCTCTGTTCTCCTTGCCACCAGCACCACTCTGCTCTGTCTGCCCTGGCTCCAAATCCCTCCTCCTCTCCCTCACTCTGATGAGCCTCCCTCTTTCCTGCCCCTCTCCCTACATTGCTGTTCTTCATCTCTCTGTACGTTTAGTTTTTCTCTACATTTCTCCAGTTGTTTTTCTCCTTTTGCTTTCTTATCTTTTTTTCACTTTTGCTGTCTCTTGGCAAATCCCTCACCCATCTTCTACTTTGCCATCGGTTATGGGTCTTTTTCATTCTTCTTTCCTCTGTCTCAGGTTTTCTATGGCTCTCTGACTCCCTCTTTCTGTCTCCTGATCCCTTTGGCCCACACAATCACAGGAGAATTTAGAGTAAGACGCCTGCATCCCTGAGAAGTGCATTTTCCAGGGTCTAGAGCTGGGCAGGTAAGAGCACCCGTGTCACAGGACAGGCCCTGGGCACCCCGCGGGCTCAGGGGAAGCGGTGACTAGGAGTAGAGACCTGTGGAGCACCAGGGCCCCGCACGAGGAAGGAGGTGGGGGGCGATGGCGCCTTAAGACAAGGATAAGAGCTGCAGGATCCCAGGACCAGGCAGAGGACGCCGCCTCCCCGGGGCTGGGGCCGCCGCGCTGCGCTACAGGGGCCGACTAGGGCGAGGGTGGGAGGGGCCCAGGGTGAGAATCTGCCTCCCGGGTGAGGACTTTGAAAAGCACGGGGCAGGAGGAGTCAGAAAAAGTTTTGAGCAGGAAAACCACCAGACAGGAAGTGTATAGAAGCACCCGGGACCTGGGAAGCGCAGACCTAATACAAGACAGAGAGAAACTCACGCGCCCGCGGTGGGACCTTCCCTCCACGTGATCCGCTTCCGGGTTTGCGCAAATCTGCGCAGGCAGAACAGAAGCCAGGCCTGGGTGGGACCCGCGAAGAGGTGAGCCCGGCCTGAGGGAGGTAGGGGTGGGGCGCGAGGCGGAGAGACCTTGCTCTTTAGAACCAGCAGCGGGCGGGGCCTGGGCGGGACCTGTGCGTGTCTCCGCGTCGCTCCCAGAGCCCCTGTTTTTCAGGTTTTGGGGGCGAGACCAGCCAGGAAGGCTGAGGCATAATTCAAAAGCCCTGGAATTGTCTGGAACGGGGATGCAAACTAGAATGTGAAATGCAAAGCCCTGCCTGAGTAGAACCTACGATTTCATGCTGACGGCCCACAGAACAGAATAGAAATCCTCTCCCTCTCTATTCTCCATTCACTCGGGAGGGAGAGTCCACCCTGTGCTCAGCTTCAGAGACTCCCCTAGGGCCTCTGCCTGGGATGCGGGATGAGTGCTCAGGCCAGGGAGGAGTGAGGTCACCACCTGCTGCTTAAACACTGCAAGGATGCGGGGGTGGGGTCGGGAACCTGAGGTCCCAGCTACTCAGGAAGCAGCGGCTGGAGGGTCGCTGAGACTGGGGGTCCAGACGACTTTGCTTTTGTTTCTTGGCGGTAATCGCTTAATCCTGAAAGTCCTGGGAGGACATGGGAAGCGTAGTCAAGCACACACCACCATGATGGAGAAAATGAGAGAGGGGATGTCAGGCCTCTGAGCCCAAGCCAAGCCCTCGCATCCCCTGTGACTTGCACTTATATGCCCAGATGGCCTGAAGTAACTGAAGAATCACAAAAGAAGTGCCTTAACTGATGACATTCCACCACAAAAGAAGTGAAAACGGCCAGTCCTTGCCTTAAGCGATATTATCTTGTGAAATTCCTTTTCCTGGCTCATCCTGGCTCAAAAAACTCCCCAACTGAGCACCTTGTGACACCCCCACTCCTGCCTGCCAGAGAACAACCCCCCCTTGACTGTAATTTTCCTTTACCTACCCAAATCCTATAAAACGGCCCCACCCTTATCTCCCTTCACTCTTTTTGGACTCAGCCCGCCTGCACCCAGGTGAAATAAACAGTATTCAAGAGGATATAAAAAGGATTACAGATATTCAAGTGCCACTTATTTCTGAGATGCAAGGATGGTTCAACATATTCAAGCAAATCAATGTGATATTCTATTGCAGGAAATCAGGGACCCTGAAAGGAGGGACCAGCTGAAGCTGCAGCAGAAAAACATAGATTGTGAAGATTTCATGGACATTTATTAGTTCCCCAAATTAACACTTTTATAATTTCTTACACCTATCTTTACTATAGTCTCCGAACATAAATTGTGAAAATTTCATGAACACTTATCACTTCCCCAATCAAAACTCTTGTGATTTCCTATGCCTGTTTTTACTTCAATCTCTTAATCCCGTCATCTTTGTAAACTCAGGAGCATGAATGTCGACTCAGGACCCTGTGATGTTTGTGTTAACTGCACAAATTGTAGAGCATGTGTGTTTGAACAATGTGAAATCTGGGCACCTTGAAAAAAGAACAGGATAATGGCAATCTTCAGGGAACAAGGGAGATAAGACGTGGACTCTGACTGCCAGTGAGCCAGTGGAAGAGAGCCATATTTCTCATCCGGTACCAAGGCTGATGTGCAGTGGCACAATCATGGCTCACAGGAGCCGTGACCTTTCAGGCTCAAGCCATCCTCTCTACTTAGCCTCCCAAGTAGCTGGGACTACAGGTGTGCATCACCATGTGTGGCTTTTAAATTTCCTATAGAAACTGGGTATTGCTATGTTGCCCAGGCTGTTCTCAAACTCCTAGACTCAAGTGATCCTCCCACTTTAACCTCCCATTATACTGGGATTACAGGCATGAGTCTCTGTGTCCAGCTGTATGCATAAAATGTTCTGGTAGATTTTTTTTTCCCTCAAGATGGAGTCTTGCTCTGTCACCCAGGCTGGAGTGCAGTGGTGCAATCTTGCATCACTGCAACCTCCACCTCTCGAGTTCAAGCAATTCTCCTGCCTCAGCCTCCCTAGTAGCTGGGACTACAGGTGTACACCACCATATTCAGCTAATTTTTGTATTTTCAGTAGAGATGGGGTTTCACCATGTTTGTCAGGCTGGATTCAAACTCCTCACATTGTGATCCTCCCGCCTCAGCCTCCTAAAGTGCTGGGATTACAGGTGTGAGCCACCGCACCCAGCCTGATTTATTATTATTATTGTTACTTAATTTAAGATGGAGTCTCCCTCTGTCTCCCAGGCTGGAGTGCAGTGGCACTGCCTCTACTAAAAAACTGTCTCTACTAAAAAAATACAAAAATTACCCCAACATGGTAGCAGGCACCTGTAATCCCAGGTACTCAGGAGGCTGAGGCAGGAAAATTGCTTGAACCTCATAGGCAGAGGTTGTAGTGAGCTGAAATCACACCACTGCACCCCAGCCTACATGACAGGGTAGGACTGTCTCAAAAAAAAAAAGAAGAAGGCCAAGTACGGTCACTCATGCCTATAATCACAGCACTTTGGGAGGCCAAGGTAGGTGGATCACAAGAGGTCAGGTGTTCGAGACCAGTCTGACCAACATGAAGAAACCCCATCTCTACTAAAAATACAAAATTAGGCAGGCATGGTGGCACATGCCTG